GATGTGGTGGTGGAAACCTCCTGTGACCTCACCACTTCGGTAGAGGCAAGGGGATCAGGAGATCAAGGTTACCTGCAGCTACATAGTGACTTCTAGGCCAACCTAAGACACACAAACTGGGTCTCAAACAAAACAGAAGCTATCTTATCTATCCTAAGCATCCTCCCTTCCCCATTTCTATATCTCAAGGCAACAGACAGGGCCCCTGGATGGAGATGGACACATATCCTCTTGACATGCGATGCTTAAAGATGACCAGCAGACGATCCTTCCAACCTCATTTGGCTTTCTGGAGCAGGGCCTGGCAGACACAACTGCCCCAGATCCTAGAACCTGCTGCTGACCTCCAACCCATACCAAAGCTTCCACCTCAGGGCAGCGACACTGAACAGCTTCCAAGCCGTCAGTGAGGCCGGAGCACACACACACCCATCCCTCTGTGGATGTGCTGCTGGTCACAGGCCAACACACATCATCAACTATGATGGGCTATGAGGCTAGCTTTAGAAGCACCTGGGTCAAGGAGGGTATTTCTAGAGAGAATTCACTGATGCAGGGGAGATCTGCCCTGAATGTGGGTGGCATTATTCCATGAGCCGGGGACATGGGAAGAACGTCTTAGCTTCCATCACGTGAACTGTTCATCCCTGCTCTTCCCTCCCACCACAATGCCCAGAACCCTCTGAAAACGTGAGCCAAAAACGAATGCTTCCTCTCATAAGTTATTTCTTTCAGGCACCTTGTCACAGTGACTAGAAATGTTTATTGTAGCAACCTTGACTTCCACTAAGAGAAATGCAAACACTATATGCCTTGCTGTGTGTCCTAAGTACCCTGTGAGACCACCTGGCAAACTCAGCTGCCACTTTTTTAAAAATATAATTTATTTAAATTTAGTTTATGTGCATTGGTGTGAAAGTGTCAGAGCCCCTGGAACTGTGGTTACAGACAGTCGTGAGCTGCCATGTGGGTGCTGAGAATTGAACCCAGGTCCTCTGGAAGAGCAGCCAGTGCTCTTAACCACTGAGCCATCTCTCCAGCCCCCAGCTGCCACTTTTTTTCTTTTCTTTTCTGGTTTTTCGAGACAGGGTTTCTCTGTGTAGCCCTGGTTGTCCTGGAACTCGCTCTGTAGATCAGGCCAGCCTTGAACTCACAGAGATATGCCTGCCTCTGCCTCCCGAGTGCTGGGATTGAAGGTGTGCACCACCATTGTCCGGCCTAAATTATTTCTCAGTGAAGAAGTTATTCGTTAGCCAAGGTGGTGGTGGCGCACACCTTTAATCTCAGCATTCAGGAGGCAGAGGCAGATGGACCTCTGTGAGTTCAAGGCCAACCAGGTCTACAGAGAGAGTTCCAGGACAACCAGGGCTATACAGAGAAACCCTGTCTTAAAAAAACAAAAAAATTCATAAATCATAAAGCTTGCATTTTTCTATACGTACTTCAGTGGATTTTAGGACAGTTACAGAATCGGGCATCAGCCACTACCTAATTCCAGAACAGTCTCACCAACACAACAATAAGCAAAAAGTCAGGCCAAGAAGCAGGGACACATAAGGTAGAAAGTTCCAGAAAGCCGTCCTCTGACCTCGAACAAGCACAGTGTCACACTCATGCATGCATTTGGGTACACACACACACACACACACACACACACACACACACACACACACAGAGTAATAATAGGGACTAGAGAGATTGCTTCGCAGTTAAGAGAACTGACTGCTCTTCCAGAGCAACTAAGTTCAATTCCCAGCATCTACATGACAGCTCACAACTGTCTGTAACTTCACACAGATACATATGCAGGTAAAACACCAATGTGCATAAAATAAAACAATTAATAACAATAATGATAAATGTTAAGAGAGTCTGGAGTGATGATCAGCAGTTAAAAGCATTTGTTGTTCTTGCAAAAAAACTCCTGATTGGTTCCAAGCACCCACATGTATGGTAGCTTACAAGTATCTGTAACTATAGTTCCAGGGAATCCATCTGTAACTATATTTCCAGGGATTCCAAGACCCTATTTGGGCCTCCATGGGTACTACACTCACATGGTGCACAAACATGCATGCAGGCAAAAACTAAAACTCTTCTCCCCCTTTAAAAGAAAGACCCCTGCCCATGTAAACTCTCTTTCCTGATCCTTTTTCCCCCACTCCTCTCTCTTTCCCGCTCTCTTTCCTGCTGTTCCCTTGGGGCAGACAGGACTTTTCCTGTCTCCCTCTTCTCTTCTGTCCTCTCTCTGTCTCTGTGTCTCTTTACCTCTTTTCTCTTTCCTTCCCCCTCCCCTCTCCTTTCTAAGAAAACTTCTCACTTAAGCTCTGTCTGCCTGGCATGTTTGTCCCTCTGCCTCGGTCACCCTTGCCCGCCATGGAATCCGCCAACGTTCACCACACTTTATCCTAATGCCAAGTCTTTAATCCCAGCACTCGGGAGGCAGAGGGAGGCAGATCTCTGTGAGTTCCAGACTAGCCTGGTCTACAGGATGGCCTCCAAAGCCACAGAGAAACCCTGCCTTGAAAAACAAAACAAAACAAAAATGCAGTTGGACTTCTGTGACATCTTATATCTGCCTTTTTTGATTCAGATTAATATTTGCAATATTTATTCAGGTTGTGATACATATATAATTTTTTTGTCATTATTGTTGTTTCGATTTTGTGTGTGTGTGTGCTAAGAATTGAACCCTGGCCCTTGTGTGTGCTGGGCAATTGCTCTAACCACTGAACTACATTCCCCAGTCCAACTTCAGTCCCTTTAATTAATTTTTTTTGTTTATTGGGAAGTATTCACCAGTCCACCTGTGTAAAGGTCAAAGGGCAATTTGGGAAGGTCACTTCTCTCTTTCCACCATGTGGGTCTTGGGGTTCAAATACAGGATGTCAGGCTAGGATCCTCTCTCTTTCCTGTCCCCTCATTCCTTTTTAGGACCAACTAATACATTCCCTCGTACTGATGGGCCACCCTGTGTTTGTCCTCTCATCTGCTCATGGATATTTGGATCTTCTCTGGCCAATCAGATGCCCCATTTTATGGTCCCAAGTCACCATAATTTGGATGGGGTGGGAGCCTAGTCCTCTCCTAACTGGGTCACTCTGGAAGAACCTGGGGAACAGTCTCACAGTTAGGCAACAGGCAGAACAACACTTGAAAAACAACCTCCACTGGGCTTCTGTATGCTGTCCATGCACACCAGGTCACTGTCTGATCCTTAAGGAGAATCCCACCTTCTGTTCACTGCTCCCTCCCGAAGTCCAGCTGCTTCTCTGCTTTAGTTCCTAACTGCTCTCCCTGGTTTTGTTTGGTTTTTTTGAGACAAGCTCTCTCTACACCTGTCGTCCTGTAACTCACTGACTAGCCTAGATTGGCCTTGAACTCACAATGATCTACCTGCCTCTGACTTCTGAGGGCTGGGACTGAAGTATGCGCCATAAACCTGGCGCTTTTGTTTTGTTTAAGATTGCTTGCCTGCATGACTGTCTGTGTACCTCTTGTGTCTGAAGAGGGAAGCCAGAAAAGGGCATCGGGTCCTCTGGAAGTGACGTTAAGGGTGGTTATTAACTGCCTTGTGGGTGGGTGCTAAGAACCAAACTGTTCCTGCTTTTACTCTAGCGCAATCCATTCTCGGGCTCCGGAGTCTTAATGACGCTGTCTTCAGACGGTACTCTCAGAAGCAGGGATTTGAACCTTCCCGCTAGTAAGCACCGAGTCTTCTTGCCAAGCCATTCTGTGCCCCGCCATGGTCATGTGATAATCTCACAATGGCAATGGGCTAATTTCCCTGGAGCCTCTCCTGCGGGCTGCGTGGCTCAGAGCATTTTTCTCACACAGACCACAGTTATTAAGCCTTAAACCCCGAGTTCCCTTAAATGACGCTCGAAGAAGTTAGATGATTTGGGTTTGGCACCGGAGGAGGAACCCAGGCATCTAGCCTGATGTAGAGCCGCGCTCCTAAACACCTAAGGCACAGTTTGTCACACTGGAAATGGAAGCCTCTCCCGCTTCCCACGTGCCGGGTCCACCCCCCTACTCTTTGATCTTTGCAATGTGGTTGGCCCTATTGACCCCGCTGTGAGTTATGGGGGCCGTGGGACCCGTAACCCGGCATTCTCGGACTCCCAGGGTCGGCAGGACTCGGCGCCCGCGCCGTGATGGATGAGCCGCCCTGAGGGCTGGCTTTGTCCGCCTTGGGCTGGCCGACTAGGAACACTAGAGTTAAGAGAAGCTGACTCCGCGTGTGCATGTGTCCAGGGGTGTCTCTCTCCTTTTCTAAAGGGAAAGGGATCATAGGTGTGCCGTCGGCACCCGGGTGAGGTCCAATCACTTTGAGGTTCTCATGCACACCCTCTTGGTAAAGGGATTTCTGAGAACCTCCCCCACTCCGCGCACTTTCTCAGGCTACAAAGACCGTGCCGCTGTCTGTCCCGCCTTCCCTGCCTCGGGCATTTCTTCCGTCCCATTTGACAGCCTAGGCGGAATAATCCTTTTGGGGACCCTGCCGGTTCTGGCCCCATCAGACGTGGCCGCAGCTGAGCTCGCAGCCTGGATCTATTGTTAGGGGAAAGGGGGTCCGCTAGGGACGCCCCGCCACTGCCCTTTGTCGCCTGCTCCCCCGCGGGGCCGCTCCAGATGCGCCACCGCTGCCGGCGCCCCACCCGTCCCACGCACCCTGTGGCCGCGCCGAGGTGGCTCTTACGCACCGGGAGGAGAGGGCCCGCCTCGCCCGGTGCTCACACGGCCGCGGGGCTGCGCCCGCCTTTGTCTGCCTCCTTTGTCTGCCCCGCGCCCTGGCGGCGGCGCCAAGGCCTCGGGGGAGCGAGCGGCGAGCGCAGCTGGCTAGAGAGTGGCGCCCGCAGCGCACCGGGCTGTGCCCGGCCAGGGGCTGGCCCTCGGCGGGGGTCGCGAAGCCCCGCGGCCCCTCCTACGTCCCCTCCCTGAGCGCCGTCCCCGCCCCTCGCTCACTCACTCCCTCCCAGCCCCGCGCAGCCTCCCGCCGCCCGAGCACCTCGCGGCGCGGTCCCGCTCCGCCCTCGGCTGCGCTCGGCTCCCGCAGGCGCTCGGCCCTGCGCCCTCGGTCCCCTCCCCGCCCGCTGGACAGGTAAGGCCCATCTCGGCCCGGCCCCGGCCCCGCCCTCCGCTCACCTGGTGCAGCGCCCGGATCAAGGTCCGCTACCTGCTCGAAGGGAGGATGCTGCCTTCCTCCTTGCTCTCTGACCCGCGTGTAGGTCTGTCCGTCTGTCTCCTGTCTCCACTTTGTGCCTCGTGTCCCCTCGGCTCTCTCGGCTTGTCCCCGGCCGCCTGGTCCTTCCTCTGGCACCAGACTGGACACTCACTTTTCCGCGCTCTATGGCACTCTGCCTCCAGTGCGACCTTGCCTCCCTCTCGGGGTCCCGCGTCTCGTGCGCGGTCCTCCACACTAGCCTTCTTCTCCTTTGGGACCTGGTGTCTTTTTGTCTCTGTTTCTGGGTGGTCTCTCAGTTGGGAGATTCATCCATCACGGTTGGAAGAAGTCTCCAGAGACTCCCTGAGCCGGGGCAGAGCTGTCCAGGGTGCCTCTGCCCCGTTCGATGTTGCCCTGGAGGCTGGGTGTGTTCCGGGGAAAGCTAAGCTCACCCAAAGCTGGTATAGTTCCGCCTCACATTTTCCCACCCTGGGGTGGACTAGTGTTGCTCTGTCACCTCGAGGACAGCCTGCTCCCTTCTCTGGGCTCGCTTGGTTCCTCCCCTTCCCCACCGCCGGGCTTTTCTCCGTCAGACCCGTCAGACCAGAGAGCTCATCTGCCTTCTGAAGTCAGAGCTGTTTGAAGTGTGAGGGTGCCTGGGTTTCCCTGACAAGTTTTGTTTAGCCGCTTCAGGTGGATACTCTCTTGGCCTTCACTCTTTCAGGGGGGCGGTCCTTGCTGCTGTTGGTTGTCCCTCTAGGGTGCCTGTCCCTCAGTCTGGTAGCAGACAAGGTGTTTCTCAACCGGTTAGCTGCTGCCACTCTGGGCTTGGACAGACAGGGGTTCTGGAAGTAAGCAAGTCTTGGACAAAGGAGTGCAAGTCTGAGCCTCAGTGTCTCTGTCACAAAACAGGGACAATAGGATTTACCTGTAGGGATGTGTGCCTGTATCTTAGGTACCTACATGGTGCTGGTGGGGATGCGGACTGTATAGTCCCTGGCTGGGTTAGAGATGGGGTCCATAGAGTCTGCCACAAAGTGCAGGCTTAGAGACCTTGCCACCATCCGAAACCCTATTCCCTGCACTTTCCTTGTCACTCCTGTCACACCCCCACACATCCCCTGGCTGCCCCCACAGCCAGCCACACTTACAGCGACCCCGCCCTCAGCATAAACAAGGAGGTGTGACTGTAGGAATGGTGCCAACACCCACAGTGCATTGGACGTGTTCGTGGCACTCATCCCAGCTCTGGACCCCGTCTTGTCCCCAAGCCTTGTTCCATGGCGCCAGCTACAAGCTGAGGCTTTCCCCTCCTTCCGGCAGATTGACTAGCCAAGTCCTGAAACTGCTTTTTAATCCCTCAGCCCCCCCCCCATTCATCATCTATGTGGCCTGTGGTCAGTACAGGTGTTGGGCTGGCCCTGGAGTCCAGCAGTGATGGGCACACTCCGCCTCTGGAGATGCAGCCTTCTCTCAGAAGGCAGGGTGGAGGCTCCATGACCGTTTTTGTTTAAACTGCAGCCTGTTTTATTGCGCTGAGGCAAGAATGGAGACGGGGGGGGGGGGGCTTCCCCTGCCCTACCCCATGCAGGCTCCTGCTCCTGCCTGGCTCATGCACCCAGCTTTAACCGTCTGGCCTCCCTGCCACCGCTGTCTCTGTTTCTGCATCCTCTGGAATCCTACAGGAAGCCAGCTCAGCAGTTCCTGTAACCCCCACCCCCACCCCAGGGAAGTTTACTCAGACCCTTCTTACCTCACTAAATGAAGATGATGCTGCCTCCTCTGCCTTCTGGGCTCCAAGTGTGGCCATGAAATTAACTACAGAAACCTCTGTTGGCCCAGCCTTCCCCTCTGCCTTTTCCCACAGCCCCATCTGCATCCTAGGCAGCATTGGAAGGCGTTAAGTGTCTCTCTCTGTCCCCTGATTTCCTCTGACCCTTTGCCGGGGTGATTTCTCCATCTGCATTGCCTTTCAGGCTTCTCTTTGCAGGCTAAGATCACATGTGTTCTTCTAGACAAGTCTGCTCAGCTTGGCCTCTGTGTCTCTCATGACCCCGGGACTGGTGGAAGAGTGTCTCCTTTCCCAGCATGGGAGCTGGGTCTCCTTTCAGTGTGGTCCCAGTGTGACACCCGAGAGGTGCACTGCTCACACCTGGCATCCTTGGGCAAGAGGGCAGAAATAAATGGTAAAGTGCAGGCGGTTGCTTCTCCCTGCTTTCTGTTAGGTTCTGCTGTCCAGACTAGGGGCAGAGCAGGCTCCAGGGCAAGGACTTTGGCTGGAGACAGAGCAAGCTATGGGGAAATCCCTGTGTGTTCTGGGACTGTGCAGGGCTCTGGAAGATAAACTTGTTTGTGCCTGGTCACCGTATGCAGTCTGCCTTTACATACCAACTGACCACTTAGCTGCTCTGCCAGCTGATGGAACGGGAGTGGGGGGTGCAGTCTATGCTCCCAGGCCTCCTAGACCCCTGGGAAGAGCAGAGTTTCCTCCAATACTGGCCGTGGTCATGGTCCCCGGCAACAGGTCATCCTAGCATCCCTGTTCAGGCCCATTCATCTAGGATCTGCCTTAGTTTTGACCGGCCTCTTTCTTTGCGGTTCCCATTCCAGTCCTTTCTCTACAGCTGTGGCCAAGGTACAGCTGACCCTCCCTGCAAGGTCACTGGACGGTAGCCAAATGCTTGCTAGAGGACATGCTTTCTGGGCCCAGCTTTGGCAAGCCTTGCCGCATAGTGGCCTGGCATTCACCATCTGGTACACTTCCTTGCTAGGGCGGTGAGGGGTGGGAGGATGGTTGCATTATTGGAGTCCAGAGCAGGTGGAGAGGATGAGGATCTTTTAGACGCCATCTCTAGGCTGGGTGCTGAGTCAGGTCCCCGGCACACGTCGCCCCTGGTCCCTGATAATTGCAGCAGCTTTACTGGACCTGGTTAAGAAAGGAAGCTTCAGGGAACTAGCGAGATGGCTCAGCAGCTCAGAGCATGTTTTGCTCCTGTGGAGGACCCATGTTTGGTTATCTTGGTGCAACTTACAACAACAGCCAACGCCAGTCCCCGAGGATTGGATGCCCTCTTCTGACTTCAGTGGGCACTTAGCATACATGTGGTGCACAAACATAGATGCAAGCACAACACTAGTACACACACACACACACACACACACACACACACACTCAGAAACCTTAATTACAGAATGGTAGCTTGAAGAGTGGCTAGAGTAAAATGGTTCAGGTGACTAGGGGCTGAAATCCTGACTCTACCGATGCCTCTAACACACAGATTGGGCTAGTCCCTCTCTTTGTCTTAACATAACTAGTAATGGCTATTTTATCCAGGTGAATAACTGGTCAATTAATTAATTGAGACAGGGTCTCACTTTGCTGAGCCCTTGCTGACCTAGAACTCATTGTAGATCAGGCTGGCCTTGAACTCACAGATCCACCCCCCCCTCTGCCTCCCAAGGGCTGGGATTAAAAGTGTGTGCCACCACATCACTATATTCAGCAGCTTTCGTTTTGTTTTTCGAGACAGGGTTTCTCTGTGGCTTTGGAGGCTGTCCTGGAACTACCTCTTGTAGACCAGGCTGGTCTCGAACTCACAGAGATCTGCCTGACTCTGCCTCCCAAGTGCTGGGATTAAAGGCGTGCGCCACCAACGCCCGGCTATTCAGCAGCTTTTTAAAGATTTGGTTTTGGTATTGATCATGCGTATTCATGTGAGTTTGTACACGTGAATATGGGTGCCTAAGGAGTCCAGAAGCAGCAGAACCCTCTAGAGCTGGAGTTACAGGTGGTTGTGAGCTGCCCAACATGGATGCTCAGGTCCCTCTGAAAGAAGAGCAAGCATCAGACCACCGAGCCCTCTCTCTGCTCCACTTCCACCTCTGCCAGAACCAACAGCCAGTGTGTTGCCACTTGGAGGTTAAATGATGTATTTGTGCAAGGAGCAAATCATGTTCGATAGTCTAGGTACCAAGACAATGAGGTTCTGGATTAGGGGTTGAGAGATTAGGAGAGGAAACGTTATTGAGTCCCTGTTATTACAAAGGAGTTGAGACCCAGCCTAAGAAGTGAGTGAAGGAGCAAGAAGCTGAGTGAGGGGTCTGAGAAGGGTGTGCAGGGTGTGTGTGTGTGTGTGTGTGTGTGTGTGTGTATGAGTATGTGTGTATGTATGAGTGTGTGTGTGCAGGCTGTGTGTATGTGTATAAGTATGTGTGTATGGGTGTGTGTGTGCAGGCTGTGTGTATGTGTATGAGTATGTGTGTATAGGTGTGTGTGTGTGCAGGCTGTGTGTGTTTGTGTGCGTGCGCACGAGAGAGTGATGCCTGTGTATGGTGTGTGTGAAGGGTTGCTCAAGCATGGTTACTGGTGCAATAAACATGCCAGGAACTGCCTAGATTCTAGATGTTACAAGGAAGCCAAACCTTACTTACCAAGACAATGCCCCTCCAGGCTAGCCGGGCATGGTCCCAACTCTCCGTTGGTTACCCTGTGAGGACAGACGATGTGGCTGCATGCTCCTGTCCTCCCACTCATGCATGAGTGCTCTCAGGACCCTGTCACCCCCGGTCTACTCTGACTTGTTCCCCCTCTTCCTCCGTCCCCCCTCTTCCTCCCTTCCCCCTTCCTCCATCCCTGTCTTCCTCCATTCCCCCCTCTTCCTCCATCCCCCTCTTCCTCCATTCCCCCCTCTTCCTCCATTCCCCACCGCCCAGTCACAGCAGCAATACTACTGTGTTTCTATAAACCTCTGCCTCCTTTGGGCCTCACGATTCCCAGCATGTTACAAGACAAGAAATTGAGATTTAGAGTGGTTAAGAGATTTACCCAAATTCCTTTCACTGTGTTTGGTGAAGCTTGGCCAGAGCTCATTGGATTTTGGGGGAGAGAGAGAGAGAGAGAGAGAGAGAGAGAGAGAGAGAGAGAGAGAGAGAGAGAA